CGAGACTTTGGCAATTTCTGAGATGCAGGACGAGTGGTTACAGGTCCTCCACTAAAGAGAAGTATTCAGGTTTCCTATATCAACACTTTTAACTCTGAAGGGCATACTTTGAAAAATTTCGCATAACATATAACCCATAGAATTGATACGATGTGAAAATGTAAATGGTTTTCTCAATAAACTAAAGGAAAAAGAGGACTATTGGATAAAAGCTATGATTTATCCTCAGAGTTAAAAAGGAAAGTAATGTTTTTAAAGGCTGGCATTTGGGCTTAACGACCAGTTACAAATGAAGATATTGTTCAGAATGTTTGACAGGGGGTTCTAATTTGTGAGATCAAAAGCCAACACATATTTGCGAAGAGCAATCAGTATGCAAATGATGCTAATGCTAGGGGGTCTGGGGGCATGCCTCCCCAGAAAAAGTGTAAGAAATAGGTGCTACGAGATTAAATCTGGAAGCAACTTTGCATGAAATATAGCTTAAACAATTGCATGGCTGTTCATATAAAATCCACAAACATTAAATACCATAAGCAGCTACGGAAAAACAATATAAGCATAATTTTTTATATCACAAAAACAGGTTAGTATTTAATGCAGTGTTAAAAATATAATAGACCTAATACTAATGAGATGTAATTATTAATTGCATACTTTTGTTTGTTTGTTTGTTTTTAATTATGCACAAAGCTACACAAGGGCTATCTGTGCTCTGCCCACCACGGGTATCGAAACCCGGTTTTTAGCGTTGTAATTCCGCAGACATACCGCTGTGCCACTGGGGGGGGCATACTTTTGTTATTCATTAAACATGTTAATGTATATATACATTAGCTTCACTGTCTATACCACCCCTTTACAAATAAATAAAAACAATGTATAATTGTAAATTATGTTAAATATTAAGTTAATCTAAAGTTACATGGTCAGAGCTCTTCGGCGTGTTATAATGTGCGATCAATCCTACTATTCGTTGGTAAAATAGTAACCCAAGAGTTGGCGGTGGCTGGTGACGACTAGCTGCCTACCCTCAAGTCTTTTACAGCTAAATTGGGGACGGCTAGTGCAGATAGCCCTCGTGTAGCTTTGCGCGAAATTCAAAATAAACAAATACATGAAGCTGGCAGGCTTTTTACGGAACACGTTATCAGTGATAGTTCGTTAACCAAACAACAACAACTTTTTATGTCTTTTAAACATATTTCATTCTTTCTTTAATGTTAGTTTTGATAATAGTATTGATTAAATTATATATATTTCTTTGAATTATTTTTCGTATATAATAAAATATTACTTTGAATTTTAGCTTAATATGTGGATATTGGTCTATACCAGATTTCCAAAGCAAGGAAAACCTCATGAGGTATTATTAGGATTACGGCCTAAAATATCGTTATCACCGAGTGTACTTGACTGATGAATCAATGCTGTATAAGGATTATATTTCTTCATGAAGTTGCATACTTCTAATTAGACTTTTATATTAAATTAGCAAAATCATTTATTGAGATAATTGTAATTCTGATCTGTGTAGGTAGCCTTGATCAGAAATGATTGAAACAAGGAACCCAAAGATTATTTGACAAAGTATTTCTGTGTTTTGTGTTGTGGGTAAAACGTTATGGAGAAGGCTTGCCGTCTTCAAGAATTCAAACTGTTACGACAGCGGAAGTCACGTGACGCTGGTAACACATAATGAGTTCTAGAAAGATCGTGGAACATCACGAATAATCCAGTATTTGCTAGGCGCCCTCTATTCTTGTATATAAGTGCGCCAGATAAAGCGAGATTATTAATCGGAATTAGAATAGCGGACAGAGAGATTGAAGATATAGACAGACAACTGAGTCAAGCGCGGTAGTAAGTAAAGTGCGTGAATCGTTCATTGAGAATTATAGCGTATGTTTAAGTGACTGTGGAAATAAAGTGTATTGCAAAGTTGTGTTGAGAAAGAATAAACTAGTTTTATTTAAGAAAGGACTTGTATCGCTGAAGTTTCTCGGGAAGAATTTCTACCGGAAATTATCAAACGAGTAGAGACGTAACAAAACATTAACAAAGTAAAATCATATAAAAAAATATATAGCTATATATATATATATATAACAGGGAATTGTAAAAGATTTCTGTAAGCCTAACGTTTCACAAAACAATTAGAGTGAATTTGTTTTCCATATTCATAATTTACCTTAACTATTGTGAATTATAATATTTGTATATTATTGTATACTTTTCTTATATCTCAGATTTCAAAAATTCAAGAAATCGATGCAGGTCCGTACCAGTGTCAGGTGATTATTGGACCAACCAGCAAAATTACTGCTGATGTTCTTATGTCTGTGAAAAGTATGTGATTTTACATGTTTTATAGTCTGGTATCAAGTGAGTTTTACGTATGGCAAGTAATTTACACATCTAAGAAAAATGTATATATTTAGAGTTGGTTAATTCAGTAATTTAATAATATATGGTGTTACAATAAATAAATCCTTACTTTAATTCTGATACAAATAAAGCTGATGAAAATTACTCTTCAACAAGTTAATCCAATTCACACCATAAAAGTTGCTGTCAAGCTATTACTAATATATAGTATCTGAATCACCACTTTGTATGTCATATCTCAGCCGGCCTGAAGAACCACGTATGGAACGAAAGGCCTAGTCGGCACTGCATATGGCAGGTATAGTTTGATTGACACATTACACACTCTTCTTTACTTTCACTGAGAATTCCTTAAATATGCAGTGCAAGTTAAATAAAATGTAAGATAATAGAAATATCTGATCATATTTAGTATGAATGGAGGGTTACCACACAAATATACAATTATTATTATATTTGCCAATTAATTTGATTTATTTTCCAATTTACATCTAATATTACGTACATTTCTGACACACACACTTAAAGATCGAAAACATTTTAATGTTCGCACTTAATGTTTATTATACCAAGTATAAAATACGAGTAATTTTAAACGATCCTATTAATTAATATTATAATTGTCCTTATACATTTGTATTAATCTTCTCTCTATAAAATTGAGTATATGATTGAATTTTTCTGTGGTTTTGTATAAGTAGATATACATAATTCAATAAACTGAAAATTGGATTAGTTATTGTTTGTTTGTTTTGAATTTCGCGCGAAGCTACACGAGAGCTATCTGCGCTAGCCATCCCTAATTTAGCAGTGTAAGACTAGAGGGAAGGCAGCTAGTCATCACCACCCACGCCAACTCTTGGGCTACTATTTTACCATCGAATAGTGGGATTGACCGTCACATTATAACGCCCCCACGGCTGAAAGGGCGAGCATGTTTGGTGGGACAGGGATTCAAACCCGCGACCCTCAGATTGCGAGTCGAGCGCCCTAACCACCAGGCCATGCCGGGCTGGATTATTTATGTTTTATCTGTTTGGAAAATAAAAATGTGGTAAAGGTAACCAGTTCCATATGTGGTGAATTAAAATAACAAAATCAAGAAAGAGTTACCAATTAGCCACAAATGAGCTTCACATAAAACAGGCATATTTTTAATAATTGAAAACCTAGTTTTTACTTAGACTAGCTAATTGCTAACCATTTCTTGACTTTATTAATTTTAATCTCTTCAGATAGGCAATAAAAACTTCATCAAGGAAAACGACAAACAACTTCACATAAATGTTTTTTATTCTACCAGACATTTTAGAGTATGCCTTTTTCAAGGGTTTTTGGTAGGATAAAAAAAAAATCATTTATCTGAAGCTGTTTGTTATCTTCTTTGAAAATAGTTTCCATCCTTCAATCAGCACTGAAAACTTTAAAACAAATAATAAAAAATAAGACCTTCTGACAAAAAATGTTTTACCACACACAATTTATTGTACAGAAAATTCTCTCATTCTGTGATAACAAGATGTGTAGTATATTCTTATTATCCACCTTTCTGCCTCTGCTAGTTGTATGAATCATTGATTTTCTGGTACAGAACAATCACAAGGTTGAGTTAAGTTAGAAATATTACATTATTTATTGTTTTGCAGAATTCGTATTGCTGGAATAGGTTAGTATACTAAAACTAGGAATGAAAAAATATTCGAAACTTAGTGAATGTGCATAATCTAGGTAATATAAAACACAGAAAAACAACTTAGCATAGTATAGTTCTTTTTCAATATTTTCTAGAAGGGCCATGAAAAAATTGTATGCAATAGTTTTATATTTTCTATAAAGGTAAATAAATTTGTTTATCAGTTTTTTATTACATTAATTTTGTGCCTTAGTTCCTCCGGTAATATTAGACAACAGTACACATTCCATCGTTACAAGCAATGGAGCTACTGTTTCTTTGAACTGTTATGCTTCAGGACTCCCCACTCCTCGTATCTCCTGGAGAAGAGAAAACAATGATCTACTGCCAACTGGGGGTGCTGTATACAGGGGTAATGTTCTGACTATTCATGATATCACTAGAGATGACCGTGGAACATATTATTGCATTGCCAACAACAAAGTAGGAAGAGGTGCTCGAAGAAATGTAGGCGTGGAGGTTGAGTGTAAGTACTTGGTTGTGGTTTGTTTTTTTCTTTCATAATGTATATTCTATACCCATAAATTACATCACAAAAATTGGATGAGTATGATATAACCTACACCTGTAATGAGGAACTGTACTGCACAGCTGTGGTATTATTAATCAAGGTTGTTGTTTTCAAACTCTCAAATAGTTTGATGTTAAAATGTTCTCTTCTAAATTTAATTTACATTTAACACACAACATGGTCACCTACAGATATCCTATAAGTTTGATTTTCACATATGTGGCTCTTAAAGTTATATTTGCCTGCAGGTAATCAGCCACTCTTACTTTCACATAATCTATGTAAAATCTATTCAACCTTTAAATACAAAATAATTACAAGAAAAGTGAAGGGATTTGTTTTGTTTTTAGCTTCTACTTCTGCAGAAGTCTTTTTGTGACTGGGAAAAGTGCCAAAGTATTGAGCTCATACACTTGTCTCATGTGTTGTCAGCAGGCCATCATTAATAACTAAGTTTAGAATATTATTGGATAGTCAACATGGTTTCACTAAAGGAAAATCTTGCCTCACAAATATTTTGACATTCTTTGAAAAGGTTACTGCTTATGTAGATGAGGGTAAGAGTGTAGATCTGGTGTATATGGAATTTCAGGAAGCATTTGACCAAGTGCCACATAAAAGGCTTGTAAAAAATTATCTCTACAGATGTGGGGAATAAGTTATCAAATTGGATAAAAGAGAAGTGGGATGAAAGAAAGCAGAGAGTTGTTATAAATGGAGTTCAGTCAAACTGGATTAATGTCAGGGCACAGTCTTAGGTTCTTTACTCCTTTTTATTTACATCAATGAAGGAATGGATAATACATTACTTAGATTTTCTGATGTATTATGGTCTTGGGTGTTTCTATCTGTGAGAAGGATGCTGCTGATTTACAAAAGATTTAGATCATTTAGTGCATTGGGCAAATAAATGGTAGATGGGTTTTAATTATAATAAATGCGAGATAATGCATGTGGGCTATCATAATTTGAATTATAAGTATAATTTGGATGGGAATAACCTTACCAGTGTCATGAAAGAAAGGGATCTTGGTTTAATAGTCAGTCAGTCTCTAAATCCATCCAATCAGCGTTCTGGTGCTAGTGGTAGGGCAAATAGGATTTTAGGTTGTATCTACAGAAATATTGAATACAAGTATAGAGAGGTTATAATTGCATTGTGTAGGTCACTGGTTAGGCCACATTTGGACTAATGTGTTCAGTCTTGGGCTCCTTACCTTAGGAAGGACATTCAATTGTTGGAAAGGGTTCAGAGGAGGGTTATTAGAATGGTGCCTGATATAGAGGGTTTGTCATATGAGGAGAGCTTAAGATGTTTGAAATTGTTTTCTCTTGAGAAAAGAAGAGTTAGAGGATATTTGACTGAGGTGTTTAAGATTGTAAAGAGAAATGATAGTGTTGATGCATCATTTTTTTTCATACGTAATGACAAGAATAATTGGACTAGGATATATAAATATAAATTTTGGCAATGTAGGAGTCATCTTCAGCTAAGACAGTTATATTTTTCTAACAGGGCGGTTGTCCCCTGTAATGGGTTGCCTTCGGATGTTGTGGAGGCAGTAAATTTAAGTGAGTTCAAGAGAAAGCGTGATAACTATATGAACGATAACGGCTGGCTTTAAGATTATTTACAAAATTTTATAATAGTTTCAGTTTAGTTTACAGGATGGGACAGCCAAGATGGACCAATAGGTCTTTGTTGTCCCTAAATATTATATTATGTTTTAACTAACTTGTTCTTAGGTTTTTTATTTTGTTCAGTAAGGATGGGTCAGTTATGTCCCAACTGTGGCTCAGTGTTAAGTCTGAGGGCTTATATTGCTAAAATTTGAGTGTTGATATTTGTGGTGGGCACAGCACAAATAGCCCTTTGTGTAACTTTGAGCTTAAAAACAAACAAAACAATTTATTTACACCTTTCTCAAACTCATTAAGATATTTTAAAATTTTCTAAACAAATCTTGACTAGTATCATATAACAGCAGGAATATTTAAGAGTTTGAATAGGACTCATGATTAGAAACAAGTAGGTTTCATAAGGAGTTACAGATATGCATGGATATTATGACACATTTTCTTTAGTGTACTGTGGCAAGCCTTTAATTTCCAGACATTACTGAATATGGACCATTCACAGTAGATAATGAAGGACAAAGATATAACTTTGGTAAGACTGAAACATAAACTAGAATATATACAGTAAGGAGATGGAGAAAGGAAAGAGAGGAAAAATCACTGTTTGATCAAATCCATATAATTCTAATATACCTACTTCATATAATTTAGGTGCTTATCCTAATAAAGAAAAATTAAGACTACAAAGAATAAAATGACAGTTTCTATTTAATAAATGAAATTAATAAGTTATTGTACCATGTTTATGAGAAATTATTTTGATAGAAACTGTAACATCAATGTTACTTTAGTCTCCAACAAACTACAACACAGGGCTAATACACAATTAGACCTAATCGAGATTTAACTATTTGCAAGTAATTTTTGATAATTGTCTTACTCCCTAAAATAAAAAAATTAGTTTTTATAACTAAAATTCACTATGCAGCAGGAGGATAGAACTGTGTAAAATGAGTGATTAAGATCACAGCAAACAGTTTGTTTGTTATGAATTTTGTACAAAGCTGCATGAGGGCTATCTGCACTAGCCATTCCTAATTTAGTAATGATAGACTAGAGGAAAGGCAGCTAGTCAACAACACCCACCTCTGATTCTTGGGCTACTCTTTTACAAATTAAATGTGGGATTCATTGTCACATTATAATGCCCCCATGGCTGAAAGGGTGAGCATGCTCAGTGACAGGGATTCAAACCCATGACCAGCAGATTGCGAGTTGAGCACCCTAACCACTAGCCATGCCAGACCCTTTCACAGCATTGTTTCACAATTACTGTAGATTACCAAGCAAAAACCATTCTCAGTACGAAATAATAATGTTGTAGAATCTGCAAATGTTTGATTTTGTTTATACATGATGCTTTCATAACACAACAGCCTAACAGATACTAAAACAATTTACACGTGCAGCCAACTGTGCATAAACAAGTAGGAAATTTGTTTATTGTTATAGAAAGTTTAGAAAGGTTCTAGGAATGTACTAGTTGATAGTTTGTGAATGTATTGCATGATAAACACATTCCTCATACGAATAATAAGGTTTGTTTAAATTTTCATATTCTTAGGTTATCAGTTTTCAAATTTAGCATGCTTATTGTAGAGGGTTACACTAATCTCACCTAGGGCTTGCAAGTTTATGCACTAATGATTCCTTATGTAATAGGTCATTATGAGAAATGATGGAAATTCTGCAAGAGCAAAAGGCTAGTTTTGATTGATTACTGCTGAGATAATGATAACTTTATCGGTTTTTTTTGTGTGTGTGCTAATCTTGACTTTTGCAAAGAGTGTGCAAGCTGTTAGACACCAATAAACTGAAGTTTTCAAGGCTGTCACATTGCTTCAGGAGGACCACACCCAGACTGAGGTGGTACAGGTTATGGGACTGTCACAATCTGTGATAAGTAGATTATAGTACAGACACCAGGCTACAGGAAAATATATGAGGAGGCCAGACCACGGTTGCAGAAGGGCAAATGGTGCAGTAGATAACTAATATCTGCAGATGTATGCCTTAGAAACCACATCAGCAGAGCTAAGGGCCTCAAGAATGAGTTTCAACAAGCCATTGGAGTGCATATATTAAGTTCCATGAGGTTGGGCTTAGGTCCAGGATACCAGTTAAAGCTCCTGAATTACTAACAAGGTATCAAACAGCCCAGCTGGCATTTGTCAAAAAACATGTCACTTTTACTATTTAGCAATGGACTTCAGTAATGTTCACAGATGAGAGCAGGTTCTGCATACCTTCAAGTGATCAATGTGTGAGGGTATGGAGATATGAAGGAGAGTGATATTTAGCCTGTAACACTATCCACCATGATGCCTTGGGGGATGATTCAGTCATGGTGTGGGGTAACTTCTGCATGCAGACCTCTATGTGGTGGATGGAGGATCCCTGACAGCACAACATTACATGGATGAGATCCTGCTTCCCATTGTTTGCCCTTTTGCTGGTGCTGTTGGAGATGAGTTCATGTATTAGCAGGATAATGCCCATTCTCACATTGCCAGGAATGAGCAGCAATGTTTTTAGGATGAAGGGATAGAGGTAATGGACTGGTCTGCTAAGTCACCCAACCTAAATCCAATTGGGCATGTGTGAAACTTGTTAGGGACAGCAGTTAGAGACAGACAACCTGCTTTTATGACTGTCCAGGAGCTCAGAGCTGCCCTCATCCAGGAGTTTACTGTGCTACCCAAGCATGTCATCAGCAGCAGCATGGGAAACAGGTGCAGACAAGCCATAAACAATAGAGGAGGACCTACCAGCTACTAAGAGACTCATTTTGTTTATATTATGCAGCCAAATATTAGCATTTTCTGTTCATTTTGCCTTTTTGTTAATTGTAAGTAATTTTTTTTTTTACTTGCTTGGTACTGTTTACCTGTGATATATATAATAAACAAGATTTGTCAATATTGGATGCCTCTCAGTGTTTGTTTTCTTCAAATTAAAAAAAAACATTTCAAAACCTCATTATCCTTTAATTTTTGTGAGTAGTGTATGTTCAATTAGACAAATTGTTAACTATGTTCAAGATAAGTAGGAGCATTGTATTAAACAAAAACTAATCACACTCCTGCTAATTTCTCATATTCCAACTTTTTAGACTGTGTGCTGGTACTACAGCTGTTTTAAGGTTACATTGTTAAAAAAACGTTTGACAAGGAATTTGTCTCTGCTACATTTTTTCCCTTTAGAAAATATGAAATATTTCATGAATGATATTAATAGGTAAGAATCATACTAATAAATGGTTGGAATAAATTTAATTAACTAATCCTTACAGAGTGTCACTATTATAGATACATTGGTGGTCATTAAAATTTGCAAAAAGTAGGAAAATTAAATAGTTAGAGCCCTAATAAATGCAAAAACAATAATCCTAAGTTTTTATGATGTTCAAATTACTTACACACTCTTAATTTTTCTTATGTTCATTTTGTGATATATATAATTATTTTAACTTTTACACAACTAATGAAGGGACCAAAACAGAAAAGACAACAAGGCTTTGTTTTTTGTTTTTTTTCCAATGCCGCATTTCTATGTAAAAAAGCAAAAGTCACTATAAAGTCAAAAATGGTTACATAGTTATTATGTTCTTTACTTTCTGATGTATTTATTTTTGAAACACATAATAAAGCCTTTTTCTCTCTCTAGTTGCACCAGTGGTAATGACAGATAGGCCACGTTATGGGCAGGCCCTAAAATATGACATGGATTTTCAGTGTCATGTAGAAGCTTTTCCTTCACCTTCTATCATCTGGATAAAAGATGGTTTTCAGCTGAATGACAATCAACACTATCGTATTTCAATTTTTGCAACAGCAGATGAGTTTACTGACTCTATACTACGAGTGAAAACTATCGAGAAGAACCAATATGGAAACTATACTTGTAAAGCAGTCAATAAATTAGGGTCTGATCAGAAGGACATTCAACTTGTAGGTGAGTCTTACATAGTATATTTATAAAGCTTTTTTATTCTTACTCTTATAAACAAGTTTTATTCTTACTTGTGAAACATTTGAAACTCAGATGAATTTGTACAAACCATGTTATTACAACATTGTACTGTTAAAAAGTTTGGATATCACTAAAGGATTTATATTTTTTCTTAATTAAGATATATTTCTAACAACTTGATGCTTGCAGTACCTATACTGACAGTTAATGTATAATCTAAGGATACAAAATATTGATTTGTAATTTCATTCAGAGTAGATAACTTGCTCCGATCAGAAGTTAATATTAATTGCACATTCTGTAGAATAAAACTTAAGTATGTTAAACCAGTACATGATTACTAGAAAATACTGTCTTGTATTGGTGATTTATACAGAACACATGAACCAGCTATTAACATTAATATAAAAATGTTTTGATGAGAATGTTCACTTGTATTTTGAAAGCTTTGCTTTACAATATGATTATTAAGTTTATTCAAAAATGTAGCAACTTGTTGCAGTCTTTTAGTCAGTGTTGCTACCAAAAGTATTTATATTGTTATTAGCTAATAATCAGGGTATTTTAAAAAGGGTTATTAAAGTCGTTTAATGAAGGCAGAGTCACATCATCACAATTTTTTTTTTCCTTTCAGAAACTACAAATATAATTTGTCCTCCAGCTTGTGGTATAGGACTTATTTCTGGTGCTGAGAACAAGAAAACTGCCTTTCTTCTTGCCATCTTTATGGCAATCTTTGATTTAATGTTTGCCAAACAAAAGTTGTCATGTTCTTTAATTTTAGCAAAGCTCTATTAAAATTAGTTCTGTTTTTATATGGTATATGTGGTGAATATCAAGTGGAATTTTAAAATTCAGAGCCTTATATTTGAAATAAAGCATCAATGAAACTGAAAGCTTTTGATTTGTTACTGGCAAAGATTATTGTATTTATTGTTTAACATGTCTTTCTTGTTATCTGCTATTTTTATTGCATAGTGTTGAGATCAATTCTATGTATAAGATATCAATGTATTATTATATTAACTTTTAAGTATTTATTGTTAGTTATTTCTAAAAATCATTAATATACACTACTTTTATTTCTCCTGATTTGAAAGTTATAGAATACTGAACTATCTGTGCTGGTCCCACTGCAGAAATCAATCCCAGAATTTTTGCATTATAGCCCTCAAGCTCAACAATGAACTATTAAGGGGGAATGTTCAGTATGAGGTACCAATATTGAATACACTTAAAGCAAGGAGCCCTAAAGCTTCATAAGTTAGGCAATGTACACATATGTGTGTGCATGTGTATACGTATAAGTTTGATCTTAGAAGGTTTTCGTGATGAGGTACGTTTGAGCTCGGTTCATCATGATGGTAAGCCTGTACTAAACTGATGAAGCTCATAATCACCTATTAAAAGTAATTGCATACTACCATAAATAATCAACACCACAAAATACCATTGTAAGTGTTACCCTAAACAGCTTAATACTGACTTACTACCATGGGTTTGATTCCCTGTAGGATTATTTCGTAAAATCACAAATTATTATAAAAATATATAGATATATAACAGCAGACAAAAAACAAAATAACAAATCATCCTTATAAACAATATAATTCTTCCTTGTTCTGTATTTGTTGTTGATGCAGTTACTTTTTGATTTAAATTTGGTTTTGTTGTAGTTGTTCATCATATTTATATTATATAATTCTGAATATTTTGATGCATATGTGTGTGTGTGTGTGTATATATATATATATACACACACACACACACACAGAGTGGGTCACAGCAAAGCACCCAATAAGAATATTAATCCTGTTGTATTTCATGCTACATCTTTTGTATGAGATTATTTACACAATGAAGTCACCAACTTGAACGACAACGAAAACACAACTTTAACACTAAGAAAGGTTTGATGTGTTATTTGTAGTTTCATATTCCATTGTTCGGGGAGAGTATCTACGGCCCACCCTATATGTGTGTATGAATGCACACACACACATATACATATATAATTAATTTAATATAAAAAATTTCACAATTTATATGATGTAGTTTTGGACTTTTACAATCACATTGTAGTGATTCACAAAATATAAAAAAAACTATTCCTATTTGTTAAAAATACGACTTCAAAATATTGTTTCCATCCTTTTAACATTACATGAAATGTACTTCTTTTCAGATATGTGGTTAATATAAAGATATGTCATTATAAGTTCTAGTTCAGAGCATTGTTTCAAGTGTAACTACATGCAAAAATTAAAATATTTCTGTTTGGAAGAAAATGGAATTTTTATAGCAATCTTACTTGACTTACATGTGATTAACTTATAAAAGTACAGTATGTTGTATGTTTGCATTAAGCAACATATAAAGAAGTATTTAATTTTAAATTAATGAGTTTAGGAAGTACTTAATTAATTATGCTTGACATTGGAAAATACTTTTTTATAACATTTTTAATGAGAAAAGTTTCTAAACCTTTGATAACCTACATTTACAATGTTTCTAAATATTTTATAGAAGATTTAATATCATTCAGTGTAAAGTTTCTGGAAAATGAATAAATTTAATTAAAATCATAGAAAATTTTCCTTTACTGCTTGTAAAAAAAAAACAGTCCACTTATATATTCATTCAGAATTTAAATAGGTACTTTTATCTTTTTTATTTCATAAATGTTTGTTTTTTCTTAAGTCTCATGGCAAATGAATCAATGTTCAAAGACTGTTACATTTTTTAAAAATTTACCTTGAACTTTTAAACAAAACTCATTTTAGCCAGAAACCAACTGTCTCATTAAACGAGTTAAATTTGTCATTGATATCAACACATGTATGTGTTATCAGTAGTTAGTAAGAACTGGTTTTTTTTATGTACTGTAGTCAAGATTTATACTTATTCATATCTTTCATTTATTTTTATGGTATCAGTGGAATCCATATTGCATGTTTGTATGTATAATCATTAATAGATGTTATGAACTTTGGTATTTTTTACATGAAAAAAAATGTGATAAAATTACTTTGAAAATGCAGAACCAGATTTTTAAATATAGCACTGATCGTATTTTTTGTATATGTTTTTCATGTAACCAGTAAAATATCATATAATAAGGTAGGAGTAATCTTTGTGATATGGTTTCATATGTCCATGTAATTGACGGTTAAGAGGTTGCAAAAGGAATAGAAAAACGTCAGTAATTATTTTTCACTTGAACATAGAAAAAGTTGTATATATATATATATATATATATATATTAATTTTCAGTATCTACACTTTGAAATTAAAACTTTCTCATCTTTGTGAATAAACTTTATCTTATGATAGTCTAAAGTAAGCAAGGACAAACCAAATTTTTAGCAATAAGCATTCTGTTTAATGGGTTTTCAATAATTCTTTGAAACCTTCAAATCATTCATACACACAAAAAAAATCTAATAAAGAAAGCTTCAGCTAAGACCTTAATATTTTTTTGAAAAACACTAGTCTTATTAACCCTGTTTTTTATTTAACAGTTTGATCATTGAAACATTATAGGATTTGGAACTTGTGGGTGGCAGTTTTTATGCACATTCAAGTGAAGCTTGTTCTGCTACCTAGTGTAAACATAAACCTTTAAAAAGGCTTCAAACTGAAAAACTGGATGATTTTTTTTATGACCTTAAACGTAGTGCTAATTGTAACATAAAGTTGATATAAAAATAATGACAATTGTGATTTAAAAATCAATTATTACTATAAAACAAAAAATAAAAAAAATTTTCTGTCCTATTTAAATGTAAGAAAACTCTCTAAATAAGTAATTGTAATATTTCATGAAGATGATATTCCAATTTGAAACATACAAAAATTATAATGGTACATTGTAAGAATTCTTCCAAGCTCTGGTGTCTTGTGACTCATGAGGAAGTTTTTATTATTAGCGAATCAATTCTGTGATTACTTGATGCAAGCAACTCATTGGTAAGTTAATTATTAAAAGGATAATTTATTTAAAAATTAAAAGTTGTTTGAACAATTGTCCTAACTACAAACCAAATAACGAATCATACACACACATACATGCATTGAGACTATATGCACAGTAATAAAATCTACAAAGTACACCAAATCCCTCTTTTAACATTGATACATTTCTCCATGTTTTACTCATCACTATTTGTTCATTCTGAGTATCTTACATTAAGAGTGCCTTTGTTGCAGTGTTTGTATAACACGAAAAATCTTTTCTTTGTATGTCTTTTCTAAATAGAAAATTAGGAGCAATTAGCTACAGTAATCCTGTATCCTTACAAACAGATTTGTGTGTGCGTGTGGATATATAAGTAATATAAATGGACAATCTACAGAGAAATTCTCACTTCCAACTATATACTCTTTCCTAAAGAACTAATATAAACTATCCTGAAAACGTAAGAGCCTGTGACACTGTTATAAGTAATATATACAACTCATGTTTAAACTGGTTACCATGTTCAACCAAGTGAAAAAATATATAGAGCAAAAGAACGATGGCTATGCATATTCCTTTTCTTGGAAAAACATCATTTAAAAATACATCGAAAATTAAAATTTTTCTAAGTATAACCAACCTTTTGTTTTGAGTGAAGTGTTTTAATAATTATATAAATACAGTATTGTTTTCTGAATGGGATGCCAATTCCCTAATGACATTTTCATGTTTTTAAGCTGATACATCAGTAAATTTTTTAATGAAACCCTATATGTGTCTTTCATTTGAGCATGTATCATAGCAACAAATCTTGGCTTTGATACTATCAATTTCCATTGTTAAAACTGTGCAGAAAAAAGTTTTTGAACTGTTATACATACTAAATAAAAAACACATAAACTTGTTAAATAAATAATGATAATATTAATACAGCAGTAGAATACGATACAATCACAAATGTTAACACTTGGCTGGAAATTGCTCCTGCAAAACTACACCCACATCTGGTAGTTATCCTTTTAATCTCTCCAGACTTAACTTTATTGTTGGAATGGGTGTGAGACAGAGATAGTAGGAGGAAGTTGGGATAAATGGGAAGTTAATGAGGATAATGAATTATGCAGATGAGGGGATTTAACTGAGGCCTCCAGTGTTTCAATAAAACCATCAAACACCTCTTCACATAAAAACAAAAATGGTGCCACATGCAAGTTGCACAGGGAAGTATCGGGTATATGTATCTGAGAAAGAATGGCATCCTGACCCAGAAGATCCCACCAGCATATTAACTAAGTCTGAAGGGCCTGGGGAGAAGATGAAAGGTGTGCCATTGTAGTAAACATAATACTGCAAATATCATCTGAAAACCCTTCAGGAGACAAGTGAATTAATTACCTGAGCCAGCAAGTACATAGTTGATAATGCACATGATTGTTGACAACATCAGTCTGATACAGAAAAATTGAGGATGTTAGAAATTCAGATGTATGAGGGTTCAAACCCCACAATGCAATGAGAAATTCCACATGTTGAGAATCCAGTTGAGGGAAGGAACATCTATAAAATACATAAGCATTATCTTCAGAAGTACAACCTGGACGAGACATACTATTCCCTGACCGAAGTTAATTCCCTGTCAGACACCCCAGGAGCAGGCATGACAGGATATTCCTTGTGTGGTGGTGAAGGTTGTATAAACATGGACATTTCTCGCAGAATAACTGCAGTCACATTCTCAGCCAATAATTGAGTACTCAAGTCGATAGTAGCAGTAGGTAAATCTGCAGCAGCAGTAACAACTGTGGTAGTTGCAACTAATTGAAACTATGAATGTATAGTGACAATTCCAAACTTAAGGACAAAAAAACAAATATTCAAAAGCAAAAAAAGTTGGAAAAAGCCACCTTTCACAATTCAAAAATGCGGAAAATTAAAGAATAAAGTATGTCTGTAATATAAAGGAAAAAGCTAACAAATTAGTGAGCAAAAACAAGCACATCTGTACAGTACTACTGCCAATCAAGAAGTGATTAAAGAGTAAAAGTGTGGAGAGGGTGCTGGTTATGATAGGGGTTGTGTCACGTGCCTATTGGTGGAGAGCTGCTGCATAATCATTTACATGTGGATATGCAGAAACGAGAAGTGTGAGGCTAGTGGCGAGAATTGAAATTTTGTGCTGATAGAGGTCAGTACTAATTGAGAAAAGCTATTTTGTGAGTGGAGGTAAGATATCATATCAGAAGTTATCAGTTAAAATGTCTCTTTTTGTTTTGTAAGCAGTAGCAGTTGTGTAACCCTGAAAACAAAGTATAATCATCTAAAGAAAATACGTTGATAAATACCACTAATTGTGCACACAATAATGAGCTTAGGAAGAATACGTTAGATTCTACCACATGTTCTATACATAAAATAATACATCCAATGAAACAATTGAAGAGACAGAGGAAGTATGTTACCACATTGCATCATAAACAATACATTAAAAAAACCAACACAAGCTTTCAGCCAGTTCACCGGTCATTTTTGGGTGTAGGAGTTCAGACAAGTCTGCATTATAAACATTTTGATACAACAAAAATAATAAACACAAATAAATCAGTTTTTACTATATAGAATTCAATTTTTGATTCTTCTTTAGAAATTACAAAGAGTACATATCACATACTACAATGATAACACATTACACTAAGAGAAATTATAAGTTCAACATTGCGATGTATATTGATAATATACCATCAATGAAAAGTTTTGTGCTTAAAAACAATTTACTTTGTATAAAAGAACAGTTTCAATAGACTTTAGGACCAAAAAACAAGAAAATTGTTTTTCTTTGCTGTACTTTTGAAGTGCAAACTTACAAAGAAAAGTTTATTTAAAATATATATTCTCACTGTAAGCTGATATACTTTAATAAATAATCTCAAGCCACAGCACTTTATCATGATGACAAAAAGTTATTTTTTTTTCTTTAATAATGCTATTTGCATGCAGTCTACTACTTAAAGTATATATCATTTAGAAAATGAGCATGAAAAATCATTCATAAAGTATTCAAACCATAAATTTGGATAGAAGGTATTATAAATAAAGAATCTATTGGCATTGAGATTAATCTATTTTTGAATATCCTACTTAAAATAATTTAACTATAGTGAAATTGTTCTTTTACAACCTTCACTGAAAATTATCTTATTGGTTTTACATTTGTAAATACAGAGTGAAATTATAAATAATTGCATTTGATTCAAAGTTGAAAGCCCTAACTTTAACTTATACAATCCATATATTAATTTTTTTGGGCTTAATAAATTGAAATATTTGTTCATGAATTTAGAATTATGCAGTTGAAGATGAAAAACAAAATTCAATAATGTAGTTTTTTTTCTCCCTTTAAGCATATTCTTCCCTAATGGTTGGTAATTAATTTCCATTGTGCCAAACACAGACTGGGAAAGATATGTATAAGTTCATCTTTAAAAATACTGGGCCTCACTATGCTACTTTTGCCATCAAGAGCTTGTTTATGCAAGTTTGTTTTTTATTTAGCCACAATTCTGAGAGTCTAACCTTGCCTTGAGCTTGAGAAGCTGCCTGCTAAGATGTGCATTGTGCTGCTGAAGATAGGATATCAGGTCAGCCTGATTTTCTAGAAGTTCGGCTTTAGAATCTTGATCCCTAGGATAGACAGATGCTGTACTACATACATATTCACTTGGGTAAATATTTTATACTAAAACATAATCTAGTCTTATATCCTTAAATAGATATAGCTTTTCTGCAGAAATTAATTAGCTTTACTGCATGGATCATGGAAAAAATAACATATAGTATTTATTACAGGAATCTATATAGCAGTGTGTGGGTATATATATATAATTTTAATTCTTACCTATCATAGGTAGCTTGCTTTGGTCAGAAGTTACTGGTAATTATGGGAACCTCAAAATTAAAAGGACCTTACAGCAGATATACTGCTACTTATTTAATTATTCCTAATAAACAATGGGCAATGACTTTTACAGAAAAATAAAAGACAACATGAATTGATTAGATGTTACAAGAATTATTTAGGTGAAAGCAAATATAAACTACTCGTAAATGTGCAACCTGCATGTAATTTTCTATTCTACATTTTGGATTTTGCAGAAAAAACAACAGTTTTTCTTACAAGTATCCCACTTCTCCTGAACTTCCTTGAAACTGCATATAGCTGTTGAGATTATCTTCTTGTTGTACGTCAGGAAGTTTGACATTTCTTTGAAATCTTATGGTAATCACTGCAGTTAAAATAGAACACATCATGGTACACCAAATACCAAAACTTGCCAATGAAATAATAGTCATATCTCAATATATGTATATTAAGAAGCTAGATGCTTTAAATTACATATTGGAAAAAATAAATTTCTAATATGATTTTGGGATCTATAAATGCTTACATCTTAAAACATTTGATATGACATACAAGTAAACTTAAAACTTAGATTCTTAATAATCAGTTAATGATCATTAATTAATATCCATACAAGTATTTATTGTACAAGTTGCCAAAAAATCTACTACACAACCAGCCTAAAACATCATCACACATCATTTTACTATTGTGTTTTAAACATTCAAGAACTGAAAGGATACAAGCTTTCAAAGTGCCTAAAAATTTTCCATTATTTATTTGATTCACTCACCAAGAAGTCAGGATTGAACAGTTTTAATCAATGAGAATGAACAGAAAATAACTAACTAACTTATACAACTAAAATTACCATAACCATTTAAAAGTTCACAATATATTACTGTTTAAGTGGGCAAACTTGGAATTACATTGCACATGTATAAATTAAAAGGTTCACAAGGCTCAAATATTTTGTTTGGAGTTAGTTGTAATTTCTTTTTAAACAATGAAGTCTCTTTACCTAGATATTGCACCAGAAAAAAAACTGCTGCCAAGCCTTCAATGCACACCAGAATCCAAATGTATTGTACAGGTTTGAGGGAAGGCAATGTTTTGCAATCTAATCTGTTAAAACATCTTTCCTGAACTACTGTCACAATCACCAAAAGAACAACATTTCCTGATAAATAAAAAATATTAGACAAAACTTTCAATACGACTTTTAACGACTTGTTTAAATATATACTTAACTAACAAGTCTTAAGAATGTATGTATGTGTGTGTCTATATATATATAGACAGGGTGTCCCAAAAAAATGTATACATACTTTAAATGCTTATATCTAAGTTTTATAATTCAAGTTAAAGAAGACAAGTGTAGACT